AAGATAAACAATATTAAAGTTGCAATCACCTTTGACAAGGGTTCCCAGCATGCTTGGCACCTTTACATTAGGCCAGGAATTCTCAAGCATACATACATTTATACTATAGAATAGTCTCTCATAGTGTCAAGCCAATCCTCTTTTATTTTATCCTCACACAAAATAAATACAAAACAAGTGAATGAACATTTATTGAAGAGTTTAGCCATTCAGACAACTTTGCTTTACACCTTTGCTGATACCAAATAAGACAAAAAGCTGGGTTCACACGCTTTTATAGTCCATTTATATAAAAGTAGTAATCACTGTTTGTTTGTCCGATAATAACTCAGGAACCCCTTGACCGATTAGTCTTAAATTTTGATAGGGGAACGTACTCTGAAAAACCTCTGGAATGTTCTTCTCTTGGTTTTACAGTTCTAAGTTTAGTGGGTTGACTTTTATAGAGAAATATTAGTTTCCTGACAAAGTTGGGTTTCCAAGCATAAAAAGTAGAAATATATTTTTTTGTCCGATCATAACTCAGGAACCCTTTTACTGATTCGCCTCAAATTTTGATTGGATAACTCGGTAAAACCCCGGGAATGTTCTTAGCTTGGCTTAAAAAAGTCTAAGTTGAGTATGTTGACTCTTGCAAAGAAAAATTAGTTTCTAGACAAAGCTGGGTTCCCAATCTAGTTTATATATAAAGTAGTAATCTCTATTTGTCTGTTTGGATGTCCAATCATAACTCAGGAACCCCTTGACCGATTTGCCTCGTGCACGGTAATGTTCTTGTATTATATCAAACTTAGGAACTTTGTAAAGAACAAAAATTCAAACTTCATCAGAGGAATTGAATCTCAAATGTGCAATTTCCTATATCTTTGCAGTCTGATCGATGATTAAAACTTGTTGCAAAGATAGTAGGATTAGAAAATTGGAGCAAAGACTCAAATTATTTATTAAAGATTAATATTTGAAGATCCACAATTGTATAGAAACTTATTTATTGATATGCTTATACATATTTAGCAAAGAAAGGTAAATTGAATTTGTTCATTTAAGCAACAGTTTGCTGTTAACGAAATAGAATTCCATGAAGTTAAGTTCACCACTATCAAAACATTTCTATATTTCTACCCCCCCCCCCCTTACCCATCAGACACTGCACGAAGTCCAAATATTTTTTCCCCCCTGCAGTATAATAATTCATCTTAAAGTTGAAATTATCTTCAAATAAAATTTCTCCCGGATTTTTATATTACCCCCATCTAACTTATTATTTAAAAAATCAAATCATTATGTTTTAAGTTTTGCAGTTGATTTCTAAAAATAATCCTAGGGTTTTGCGTGAGAAATCCTGTTTTCTAGTAAAATTCGTGGATTTTATCGATATTTGTTTGTAAAAGAATTGAGTCTACTACATAGGGTTGCAATGATAAAGGGATTAGATAATTAAAGTTTGTGACAAAGCCTCAATTTCTTTGATTGTCCAATATGAAATAAAAAATGAAATACTAAATGAGTGACTAATTCTATTTAAAGGAATAATAGTGTATAAAATATAAAAGTGTTGTATAAAATATAAAAGTGTTGTATAAAATATAAAGATTTCACGGCACAAAAGTCGGTCAAAATTCCTTTTTCTGTTTGAACTTATATTTTCTTAATTTTACATTCTAAAAGTTAAAATTTTTTATTTTCGAATCTTTTCAGGTTTCTTAGCCCATTTCCTTTCTTATTGATGCTAAACATAAAGAAAAGAAAACGGTTTCCTTCTAACCAAAACTCACATCCTACAGANCCCCCCGCTCCAGCGGCCAAAATTCCCTGTTGTTTTCTTTATTTATATTTTAGAAGTTTGCTATGTGTTCAGAGCTGAAAACTTTAGAATGGAATATCATAAATCCCGATCAGTTTATTAATCTGGAGATTAAAAACAAGAGAAAAACGAGCATTATTTAATCTGGAGATTAAGAAAAAGAGTGGATCAAGCATTAATCCCGATATCCCCAATTCAAAAGTTCCCAGCTCAGTTATATCTTTAATGATTCAAGTAATATATTATATTAATGAGAAATGTAGATACATCCTGCTTCATAGTTTTCTCGTGGAATCTCTCTTTACCTGGATACACATGTTTGAACATCCTGGATCACTGCAGGAGAAGGTAAAAGTTAATGCGATATTTCTGGTACGATTCTGCGACCTCGTAGCTCCTCTTGTTTTGATTTTAAGTACACAATGAGAAAGGCAAAGAAGTTTGCCACAAAATTCCGATTTTTTTTGTCGTAGACCTTAGATATATCAAAATATGATTTCAGCTAGATTAAATAAAGGTTGAAATATCAAAGGTTTACACCATCAGTTTGCAAAGATACAGAGATTAAACAATTTGAGTTTGTGACACAGACTCATTTCCTTTCATCAAAAGAGCCTTAGGAATTATTTTGTATAAATATGAAAAAATAAGAAAACTAAATTTGAAAAAATCTTAACCCTATCTCTGCTGGAGTACTTAAAAACCAGGATATGCTGGGGGGGGGGTCAATTTGCCCCCCCCCCTCTAAATCCCATGTTTGATGTCCAAATATTACAAATGATACATCATTGGAAAGCTCTTGTGTTCTACTTTTAGAATCTGCAAAGCAATTTGCAAATTTGCAAAATTTGAATTTTTTATCGCAAAATCCAGTTATATAGTAAAACTGTTTGCAAAAATAATTTGTTCAAAAAATGAAAAATTATACATTTTTGAAAAGCCCTTGACCATGCCATTTCAAATATGCAAAAATGTTCGCAAAATTTTAAATAATCTGATTTTTAATCAAGAAAAACTAAAAGTGTGCAAATTTCCTTTGACAGTTGGTTTGCAAAAATTTGCAATTTTTTTTCGCAAAACTTGTGCAATTCGTTTCCTTATTTCAAAGGCTTTCCAAAAAGCTAAATTTTATCAAAATCTGAAAAGTGGAAGTGGGTCAAATAAAGATTTAGTTTGTTACAGGAAAAAGCAGTCATTCAGGCAGTGTGTCTGAGGACTCAGGCAGTTAGTATTAAAGGCTGGTTTAAGGCCTAAAGGGAGGGCTTTTGGTATGTAGGAAAAGTCAGAAAATTTTAACAGCCTTGGACCAATACTTTTTGAGTTATGTAAAAAATACTTACCAATCTTGGGCCTTTGTTAGCAAGAATTTACAACCACACTGGACTCTCCGCTTCTCTGCCATAATATTGAGTTAAGTACAGCAGATGTACAATTTAAACTGTACAGTGGATACTGCACCAGTGTACATAGAAAGTGTACAACTTTAGAGTGTACAGCAAAAATGTACACATCTATAATTGCAGCGCAATACAGTGAACAGTATGGTCGTCGTGGGTTAGATCTACAAAATACAGTTTTGGAGAATAATATTTACTGTACATTGTTCAAGATATCAGAGCCCGGGAGGGAGAGGGGGGGGAATAATAAAATAACTGTGACGAAGGGGGGGGAGGGGGGATATTTTCTATTTTCGTCCTGAAATATATTGGCTGATGTATGTGTGAGAGGGGGAAGTAATAAGTCCCCCCATAGGGTTAATTGATTTTGAACCGACAGAAACAATACACACACCAATCACACAATCACTACACACACAAATACACACAATACAATTGGACTAAATTGCATACAAACGCTTCTATCGATGAAGGATGTAGTAGCATACTTTATAAACAAACTCCAATATAACTTTAGACGTTATAGTGACGTTTTATTTAACGCGTGGTACGTTCCATTCATAACAACGGTGCTTTTTTAGCTTCAAGATAGACAAGATAGACAAGATAGACATGTAAACTCTCATGAGTTTCTTTTACAGCGATACCACAATTGAAAATTATGAATTATCAGCTAGGAAAACGTGGATTTCTCATTCATCCTGGATGAGACAAATGTTTAAAGGGTATCGATATGAATCATAAAAACGGAGGATCATTTTATATTAAGTCTATAGTCTCTTTAAAGGAGTTTTATCAAATGTATTTTAAGTTTTAAAAAAAACACAACGCGACTAATGTGCTTAAAACAACGAACATTGAAGTTCCTATTTTTATTTTCATATTTTTGAAGAACTCAACAATTTTTCATAAATTAATTCAAATTTGTCTCTATATATATTTATCCATCTTCTCCTAATATTAGGAAGGATCCCTCTCTCCAGGGTGGAGGGACAATGCATCTATTCAATACTGCACCCGGAGATAAAGAAGAGAAAATCAGGAACCCTTAAAGTTATACCTTCCAATATAAATATATATATGTATACATCTTTCTATATATCTGATGTACCTTTTGTTATCTATATATATATATATATCTATCAATCTCTCTGTCTGACAATCTCTGCTTATTTATAGCTTTTCCTTGTTTCTTCGATCTTTCTAATAGTAATATCAAAATTCTAGTACATAGATTTTACAGGTTTAGTTAACCAGACGGGCCAGTACCAGACCAATTAGACGGGTTATTACCAAACTAAAAAGACAAGCCAGTACCAGACCAACTAAACTGGCCGGTACCAGATTAACCAGACAGACCAGTATTAGATGAAGTTGATTTTTTGTCGAGCTTGTTCTATAAACTACTTTACAATGATGATCTATTGACTGATAAAATGTTTTGTTTTGGATTTATATCCGACTATATATCTGCCTGAGTTCAAGCGTAGATGGGATGCATGAGTGTTGAATACAATCTCGTTAATTCCCGGTTTTAATCTGTATAATATTGTTCGTTCTGCAATCTATTGTTTTAATTCTACAGGGGTGAATAAAAACAGAATAAGCATCCAAGTGAAAGTGCCAAAAATCATCAGCCACTGCTTTCTGGGCTTTTTTGCAATTTTTTGTTGTTGAATGTGAGTTTTTACTTTTAGACAACCTGTGCCTACAAAATTGATCAAGGATTTTGGCACCCTGTACTTAATCTCTAGATCAACCTTTTCTGAATAATAATGTGCAATGCACGCAAAGTGTTAATGCTTGAGGTAGAAAGCATTTCAAAACTTTTAAAAAATGCTAATCTAGCCTCTGCAACTAATAAAGCCTCTGCAACTAATCAAGCCTCTGCAACTAATCTAGCCTCTGCAACTAATCAAGCCTCTGCAACTTATCAAGCCTCTGCAACTTATCAAGCCTCTGCAACTAATCAAGCCTCTGCAACTTATCAAGCCTCTGCAACTGATAAAGCCTCTGCAACTAATCTAGCCTCTGCAACTAGTCAAGCCTCTGCAACTAATCAAGCCTCTGCAACTAATAAAGCCTCTGCAACTAATCAAGCCTCTGCAACTAATCAAGCCTCTGCAACAAATCAAGCCTCTGCAACTAGTAAAGCCTCTGCAACTAGTCAAGCCTCTGCAACTAATCAAGCCTCTGCAACTAATCAAACCTCTGCAACTAATCAAGCCTCTACAACTAATCAAGCCTCCACAACTAATCAAGCCTCTGCAACTTATCAAACCTCTGCAACTAATCTAGTCTCTGCAACTAATCAAGCCTCTGCAACTAATCAAGCCTCTGCAAATGGTTTTCTTTTAAATCTGGACAAGCTAAAACCCGGAGTAGGCAGAAACACAACCAATTCCACAGAGTAAAGACCTTTATACTGAACCCAGTCCTATAACTAATGAGAACCTAGAGAAGGTCTGAGTTCTGAACCAAACCTATATAGTACCCTGGGCGGGTTTTGGTTTTATATCTTATTTATCAGATCGTATTCGTGCATCGGTTCCTTTAGTCAATGTTCTAAACTGATATGAATACAGTCCGTTAATAAACAATAACTTTGATTCTAAACTGATTCGAATCCCTTCAGTAGTGTACTGGATCAAATACAGGTTATTTCATATAAAATGCCCAAAACTTTTTTACGTTCCTCTATCAAAATCTGAATCCTAAAATTAACAGAATTTAAAGATAAAATATATACACTGAATGGACTCTTTTTATTTTGAGGATGTTTTTCTGGACTTACTGTATAGGATTCCAATATATTTCATCTGATTCTCTAGTCTCTTGTTTCTGGACGTACTGTATAGATTTGCAATATATTTCCTCTGATTCTCTAGTCTCCTGTTTCTGGACATACTGTATAGGATTCCAATATATTTCATCTGATTCTCTAGTCTCCTGTTTCTGGACATACTGTATAGGATTCCAATATATTTCCTCTGATTCTCTAGTCTCCTGTTTCTGGACATACAGCATTGGATTCCAATATATATTTCATTTGATTCTCTAGTCTCCTGTTTCTGGACATACTGTATAGGATTCCAATATATTTCATCTGATTCTCTAGTCTCCTGTTTCTGGACATATACTGGATAGGATTTCTATATATTTCATCTGATTCTATAGTCTCCTGTTTCTGGACATATACTGTATAGGATTCCAATATATTTCATCTGATTCTCTAGTTGATGTTGACTAAAAAGAATGATTTAGTATAAAAACTAAACATTGATTAATGCGCCCCTATTCAATCCTTTTTTTGGCCCCCATCATCTTAGAAAATCCCACATTTCTGATAACTAACTACCCACTCCATCATACAGTTTTACACATTTATTCAACTTTTATTGTGATTGTGAGAAGAAAAGGGGAGGGGGGGGGAGGGTCTGAATATTTCCTTCCAACACTTTTTTATCGATTACATTTGATATTTACTATGCTTAAGGGGTGGCACTCTCAATATGATTTGATCCCACCAGATAATTAGGAAGAATCTAAGTTTAATGATTGGCAGAAGAAGTGTTCCCTTGTCAAACCATCTGTTCCTTAAATCCTCAAATTCTTCAGAAAATTTTAGGTTGCATCCTCGCCTGCCTTCTCTCCCCTCCCCTCCTCTCCCCTCTCCTCACCTCCCCCCTCTTCCATCTTCCTGCCCTCCTCCCCTTCCCCTCCCCTTCTCCGCCCTTCTCTCTTCCTTCCCAACCTTCTTCTTATTTCTCATTTATTACTGCATTTTTCTTTTCTCCTAAAACTTTTTCCTCGCTTCTTCACTTCTTTCTGGTTTCTCCTAGGGTTCTTTTTCAATTTGTATCTCCTCTACTTCCTTCCTTTTCTCCCTAATTTAAAGACTTTTCCTTCTCTTACTAATCATTTTCATTTATTTTGAGTTTCCATCTTAAGTAGATTCCAAAAGATAGAGATTACTGCTTCTCCGCCGGAACCCGGAGAAAGATTGTGGTATTATACCAACTAATCTCCAGGTTTGGCAGGTAGGACGGAGAGGATGAGTTGAGGTTTGAACCTCAAATAAAAACTTGAACACTGATCCAACTGGCAAAGGAAATATCTGACGATCCTTGAAGTGTCAAAGAAGTTTTGTAAATGGTTTATTTAAATTTCTCAATTTTAAATCTAACGACCCTCCCCCCCCCCCTCTCCTCTTTATGTAACTTTCGTTCCCCGACACCAATACTATTCTTGGGATCCTGAGCAGGACGGATGTTGATGCCTGATTGCACTAAACCTGGAGTAAATCCAACCATTCATTCCTCGCCATCTTATTAATTCTTCTTCAGATTCTCATTCAGTTCAGTCACTCATCAGTCATTAATCTAATCCAGAGAAGCCGGAGCCATGTCTCTATATCTTGGTCAACCCTGAACCATATGTAGTCCCTTGATATATAGCCTACCCTGAGCCATAGGAGTTCCATCCTATTCTACCCTGCGCCATAGTAGTTCCTTTATCCTATTCTACCCTGCGCCATAGTAGTTCCTTTATCCTATTCTACCCTGCGTCAATTTAGTCTTCTCTGCTTATATTTGCTTGGCTTCTTGATCAACAAAGAATTCTTTTAAAGAAAAAGAGTCTTTGCCACAAACTCAATTTTCTTATATCTAGATCTTTTGTAACGTGATCCGACAGAATTCATATTTTGAAATATCTCAGGTCTACGACATTGGGTTGCAAAGATATAGGGTTTTAAAAATACAGAGTTTGTGACAAAGACTCAATATCTTTGTAAAGCACACTCCTTATATTAGTAAGGGTGAAGTTATATAGTGCTAAAGTAAGAAAACATTTAAAATATATTTTGTTGAAATGTTTAGTTAAGATACTGGTTTCAAACTTGTTTGTATTTAATTAGAGTTGAGTGTTACTAGGTGCAGAGAAGGAGTCCACAGGGAATAGATGGTGCGGATAGGGAAGTACAGAGGGGAGAGTATAAAGAGGGAAATTGCAAATTGGGAATAAATGCAAAACTTGGTTTTGGAGCTCTTTAGGATAGAAGTGGAATGGATTTTGTTATTACTCCAGTATTAAAATCCTTTGTGCAGAGTAGAAGTTCCACAAAATGTGTCAGGAGTAGGTTGCTTTAATCAGGTGTGGATTGCATAAATCAAGTTAAGTTTAAATTGCATGTATCAGGGTTGGGGTCCATGTATCAGGGTTGGGGTCCATGTATCAGGGTTGGGTTGTATGTATCAAGGTTATAATGCAAGGAAAGTTAATTGCAGTTGCGTATACTCTGCGTACATATTGAAACCAGTTCTCTCTGCGCGGAATTTGTAAACAAGAATAGTGCTTGTTTAGTATCCGAGGAGAATAAAAGCATTAAATTTTGATAATTTTGATAATTCACATAATAGTTTCTATGATCAAAATATTTCATTGGTTCTTTAGTGAAAGATGAATCCCGTGTCAGGCTTCGACATCCGTCTTGTGTTTACATTACCGCCAAGAGACAGTATACACTGCAGTACAAAAGATGCGTACACCCCTGAAATAACTTTCCTTGCATTATAACCTTGGTATGTATCAGAGAAGGTTGCATGTATCATGGTTGGGTTGCCGGTATCAGGGTTGGGTTGTCTGTATCAGGGTTGAGTTCCATGTATCAGGGTTGGGTTGCATGTATCAGGGTTGGGTTGCATGTATCAGGGTTTGGTTGCATGAATCAGGGTTTGAAAGTGCATGTATCTGGAGAAGGTCGCATGTTTCAGGTTTGGGTTGCATTTATCAGAAGTAGGTTGCATGTATCACGGTTTGGTTGCAAGTATTAGGGTTGAGTTGCATGTATTAGGGTTGGGTTGCATGTATCAGGAGTATGTTATATGTATCAGGAGTCTGTTGCATGTATCAGGGCTTGAAAGTGCATGTATCAGGAGAAGGTTGCATGTATCAGGGTTGGGTTGCATGTATCAGGGTTGGGTTGCATGCATCCGACTTGGGTTGAATGTATCAGGGTTAGGTTCCATGTATTTGGGGTAGGTTGCATGTATCAGGGTTGAGTTCCATGTATCAGGATTGGTTTCTATGTATAGGGGTTGGGTTCCATGTATCAGGTATCAGGAGTATGTTGCAAGTATGAGGGTTGGGTTTCATGCATCAGGGTTGGGTTGCATGTATCAGGGTTGGTGTTGCATTTATCAGGTTTGGGTTGTATGCATCAGGGCCGGGTTGCTTGTATCAGAGTTGGGTTGAATCTATCAGGGTTGGGTTGCATGTATCAGGGCTGGGTTGCATGTATCAGAGCTGGGTTGCGTCTATCAGGGTTGGGTTGCATGTATCAGAGCTAGGTTGCATCCATCACTGTTGGGATGCATACATAAGGGTTGGGTAGCATCTATCAGGGTTGGGTCATGTATCAGGGTTGGGTTCCATGTATCAGCGCTTGGTGCATCTATCAGGGTTGGGTTCTTTGTATCAGAGTTGGGTGCATGTATTAGGATTTGGTTGTATGTATCAGGGATGGAAAGTTTGTTTTAGGGTTGGGTCGCATGTACATCGGTTGGGCTCCCTTCCATGTATCAGGGTCGGCCGGGTTGAATCTATCAGGAGTGGGTTGCATGTATGAGGATTGGGTTGCATGTATCAGGGTAGGGTTGCCTCTATTAGGAGATGGTTGCATATATCAGGAGTGGGTTGCATGTATGAGGGTTGGGTTGCATGTATCAGGGTTGAGTTGCATCTATCATGGATGGGTTGCATGTATAAGGGTTGGGTTGCCTCTATCAGGAATGGTTTGCATGTATCAGGGTTGGGTTGCATGGATTTGGTTTGAAGTATATATATTAGCTAATTTGATACAAAAGCAAAGGCTGAAATGCATATATCTCAGTAAGGATACAGGATCAAAGATTTTTGTCGTGCATTGAGAAGGATGGATATGTTTCGAGCTATATATTTTTCCCCTGTAAAACAAGATAAATAGGTTCTAAAGATATTTTAAATATTGAGGGTTCAGAGGAGAAAGAAAGATATTAAGATAAACTCCCGGGATTGACAAATGCGTCCTAAGATCCAAACCCAATATTTAAAGAGACTCTCTGTGGTATAAGGGATACACGGAGAACTCAGGAACCCTGATTGAGTTAGAGAACTAAATCCTCTCCAGAAGTATGTATATTGTATATGTCTCCTTGTGTAAAACCATTTAAGATAAAAATCTTAATGTTGCCTGGGACACTCCATAGTAGTTCCTTTATCCTATTCTACCCTGCGCCATAGTAGTTCCTTTATCCTATTCTACCCTGCGCCATAGTAGTTCCTTTATCCCCCCCCCCCAGCAGGAATAGGGTTAAAATATCAATTTTATCTGAGAACATAGAAATTCAAAACATTTATGTTCTTCTCCACAGAT